AATGTGAACTCCGTAATTGAGGCCGCGGCTGCATCAGTTGAGGAAACGGAAGACTCACCAGTACTGACTGCTGCTGTCTGGATATGCAGTTTCTGAGTCAGTGATTCAATGAGCTTCAGTTGCGCTTCTTCAAACTGCTTTTGTTGCTGCTGCAATAATTCTCGGAGCTGATCAAATTCGATTGACATCGTGGGTTCCCGTTCGCCAATTGTTGTAACTGTATTTTCCTCAGCTTAGTTCTCGGTCTGAGCCTCCCAAGCTAGCGTTCACGTCAAAACAAACACCAAAGGTGCAAAAGGTCTATTAACGCCCAAAACGAAATCAGGAACAGCTGTACAGCGCTTCGTATATATAGCGTAAGCGGCTATAACTTTCTGGAATTTCTGACGCGTTCTGGAGCTCCATTGGCAACTGGCATTTGGCCAATACTGGGTCATGATTGGCTGTTGGGTGCAGATTGTTGACCAATCAGATCTCGTCTTGATGCCGGACCGGCAAGCGTCCCGAATTTTGGGCCAACCTCGAGCGGGCTAGGCTTCTCGGCCGTAGCAGCGCCTAAAGACGTGGGGTATAGTGGGATCCGCGTGGATTCCTGCCTAACACTTCTACAAAAAGATGTTCCATGGAACTGGTCACACGATTGCCAATCTGCAGTTGATAACGTGAAGTCGCAACTTAGCTCTAACTTGCTCCTCGCACATTACAACCCAGCTCTAGACATTACTGTGGTTTCAGAGGCATCCAATTATGGTATTGGAACATCGCTCTCCGAGGTCGATGGTTGTCTGCTGTTTTCAGAACGCGTGGTTGTACCTTCAAAACTCCATGACAGTGTTCTCAAACAATTTCATTTTGGACATCCCGGTATCAACCGTATGAAAGCACCGACCCGTAGTTACGTTTACTGGCCAGGCATGGATAAACGGTTGGAAGAACTTGTTCGAAAGTGCTCAAAATGCCAACTATCTGCAAAAGCCCCTCGCAAAACAATTATGTTCATGGCCTGTCCCAGAAACTCCGTGGTCACGAATTTATGTCGATTTTGCGGGACCAATCAACGGCCAACGATATCTCATCCCAGTAGATGCTTATAGCAAATGGCCAGAAGTGTTTAGCATGAACCATATTACTGCTGAGGCTACCATTTTAAAACTACAACATGTGTTTAGCCACTTCGGAGTTCCAAATATCATTGTTTTCGACAACGGCAGTGCATTCACTTCCGCTAAATTTTCCGAAAATGCCATACAACACGTGCGGTCACCACCATTTCATCCACAATCAAATGGCCAAGTGGAAAGATTTGTAGACACTTTCAAACGCGCACTCCAAAAACTCAAAGTGGAGGGGACCACACCGGAAATCATCGAGACATTTCTGCTGAGTTACAGGGCGACACCAAACGTTACCGCTCCACATGGTAAGTCCCCGGCGGAGGTACTTATGAACCGGAAGGTCCGCTCACTCGTCGACGTCATCCGTCCAACACCACATTCGCCAACCGGTAGAAACATAAATATGGAAGTTCAGTTCAACCGACAACGCGGTGCTGCAAAGAACTTATTTATACCCGGCCAATCTGTGCTAGCGAAAGACTATCGTGGTGGCGCGGAAAAGTGGACACAAGGCATAATTGTGCGTCGTGCCGGAAGAGTTGTCTATGAGATAAATGTAGGCTCGTCTATCTGGGTCCGTCATGCCAATCAGCTACGCACTTCCTATCTTCCGGCGGCAGCTACACTTGACCCTGTTCTTCCACTGGAGACTCTTCTCGACACATTTGAGTTAGCTCAAAAGCCAAAATCTCCAGAGCCGATGAATGAACCAGAAATTTCCAAAAGTTTTACACCCAGAAGATGGACCGATCGGATCAGAAAGCCTGTCATACGAATGCAACTGAACCCACAACTCCAGTCGTACGAACAATGACTTCAAAGGGGAGGTGTTAGGAGGCACTCCTCCTAACGAACGTATTGCTCAACATTTCTCTCTATTTCAGCCTTTCATTGGACTGTTTTGTTCCATTCCATTCTTGATTCTTCGAATCTCGATATTGGCTGTTCAGTTGCTTCAGTATAATTTCCTCAAGGCTTTTTGTCTTCTCCATTCCGTGTGTAACTGACAAGGTTGATTGACTGATCAGTAGAGAATATAACACTCCCTTCACTACCTTCGCAGTTAAAAGTCCACTGGCAACCCTGTGTTGACGCATCAGTTATATCGGCTACCGCTTCCAACGGGCAGGTATCTACCCAAACCATCGATAAACCAAACTGCAGCTGATAGAACCACTGTACGGTTTTAACAGCTGATTATGGTGAGGACGACGAATTCGTAGCGAGGTAAACAGAAGATGGGGTTCTGATTGTACAGCAATCACTTCATTTGCAGAAAACGTCCAGCTCGATTGACTGCAGTGACTTAGTCATATGCTACGCATGAAGGCCAGTGGCTCCTTTACATTGGCGCAGTCCGCGAGGTGTAGGACGCCTGGCTTTGGAATAGATAAAGAAGAGCTTAGGTGTCGGTTTGGTCCGCCTTCCAGGATGGGTACTTCCGTTTGAGTGGAAATGGCAGCTAGTCGATATCGGCAGCATTCGTGCTGTCACTTTCTTTGCAGACTATCTGACAACATTTAAGCAGAATACCTGCGGTAGGTTTTTCTCTGTTATTACATAAGCACTCTGATTGTATGGCTGTAAAGCATCGACGTCGGCCTTGGTGTTGCTGTCTGATTATGGTGACACCGTTCACCTCTGACAGGAAGTTCTATATAACAATAGCCATCTGACTGGATCATTTCCATTCCTTCTGTTCACCGTTCCCTCTTTCCTCATGTGTTTCATTGGCCCTAATACCTATAAGACCGTTGGGTTGTGTCTGTCTGATGTTGAATTGTTTTGTGGCATGACAAACTGTTCCCTTGAGAAGCAAATTTCACCCATCATTTCCACTACACCGCCCACGTCGCTCTTGACTTAGACTAAATTTTGTCACAGTACTTGCGTGGATCTGTCCGTGTTCGGATGCACTTACTTCCGGGCGCTTGAAATTTGTTTCCAGCCAATTGGGGTGAGATGGCCCAGTGGTTAAATTGCGATTTTACTGACCCGGCAGTATTCCAGCTCTCGTGCTTCGGGTGGCATAATAGCCAGACACTGAAAGGTTTTTACAGCTGAATTATTTATTTTTTCCCGCCAATTGGGCGAGAGCCTCGTAAAATTTCGACGCACTTCCCCACATTCAATCTGATTGAATTCTCTCTGATCCACGAAGAGGTGGTTTTTCACTAACAATAGGTAATTTGGAACATATCGGGGCGTGATCTATACTGCAATCTGCTCCAATCATCACTTTTGTGGTATGGTATCACTAAGATCTATGTCTGGCTATAGCAGTGGACTAGATATCCTTGCTCACTCTGAGTTGGTCCACATGGCAAGCGCTATCCGCTCCATGTTCTACATGCTTTTTATTGGTATTCCTAATGTTGCACTCATCACTATTCCTCCACCATAATTGTTCCGTTGGTCATATACCTGGTATTCCAGGTTTTCCTACCTTCTCCAACCGGAGCGCTGCAAGCCGCAGATAAGAAAGGATACTCTTTTGAATGGTTCAAAATAGACTTGAGTTTATGACTCTAGACCACTGACTGGAAGGTCCGTGATGCGAATCCAACCTGGGATTTACTGGTTGCTCCTGTCTGGGCTTAGACGACGTGGTAGTATCTTAGTCGTCGTACCTCTTCCGAATTACAAGACAGCTTTCCACGTACAGGGCACTAAAGTGCTCCAAGGCATCTGACCAGTTCCGGCAGCTGATCGTAGAATATGTTTTCGTCTCTGTAGTGTTATATTGACGAGGGTTTAAACGCTAAATTACCTGGAAATCTTCCCCCTCACCAGCCCAAATTGGGTGGCTACCATTTCTGAATTAGTACCCTTTCGTTCATAAGATCTGCAACTTCAAATCATACATCGAATTCACAGGGACTTTCACGTATTAATCAGTTCCAGCAAAGAACCTGACCAAAACCAGTCCACGATAGCTGCGTTTCACTGAATGCAGTATGGTCTGTCCCGTGGTGTTCCAGTTCTTCCGCAACGAAAGCCATTCACCTTTCTGGACTGTGTTCCGTCGTCCAGGAGAGTCAACATGCCCCGGGGTTCCAAGTTTTAGATGACAACTCCGCGACGGTTGATAAAGCAACGCTTGTTTGAAAGTAACGCTTGTCGCGAATACCCTACCCAAAAGTTTCGTTTTCATAGTATACCGCAATACACCTAGTTGACCCTGGAGGGGAGTATAAAATGAAAGTCTGAATATCAACGACCATTAGGTCCATTGCATGGTATTTGAGCACAACCGAACTGTCGCCTTAACTATGTTCTCACGGTTTTAACATCCAGGAATGTAGAATAAGCGGTAGAAGTCATCTAAACCTCACCTGCTCTAAATCACGCGAAATGGTCTCCAACTCGTTTAATAATCTTTGGCATGGGAACACGTATAAAGTCCAACAACTGAAGAAAGCACAAACAATGTTCAATGCTCTTCTAATCATAGTAAGCGCTGGCACATTCAAGACACGCACATCGGGCACAAGGTGTCTGATACACAGGATCAGGTATGAAAATCAGTTCCAAAATGAATACCCAACGCCACGTTCCACCCACAAAACTGTCGCATGTATGTGTAGTGAGCCCAGCGTCATTAACAAACACGGGCGATTTTGAGCCAGCCCAACAGCAAGCTTGGAGGATTGAGGAAACCAGGCTCCTCGAAGTAAAATGATAACCTTTAGGCAAACCAAGGAATCAACATCATAGTCGACGGCATATAAGTCTGAAATAATTGCGACGGAACAATCGTCAGCACCTTACCTTTGTCTCTCCCTATTTCACACAAGCATACAGCACCAATCCAAGACTATACTCACGTCTATCACGGTTGTTCGGCGCTCCCAAACATAGTTTTAGGCCAGGTTTGATGAAAGACGTCGAGGTAGATTAAATAGATAATCATTCAGCTGTGAAACCCTTTCGGTTCCTAATTATCATGCCACTTGGAAAAAGCACAAGGGCTGGGATACTGCCAGGTACCCTTGCCTAGACGGGAAGTCGAGAGGCGGAGGTAGGGTTCGAACCATGGACCTTCCGGTCAGTGAATTCGCGCTGTAACCACTGAGCCACCTCGTCGAAGCAGGTGTTCTCAACTCCTTAAACCGGGTGTCTCATACGACGGGGACGTTCTCCGGGATCCATTGCAACCCGGACATATTGCGTCATCCGGCAGAACTGTAAAATATGCACTAGGATCTCCGGCTAACCACGGTTTCCATAACAGAATATCGTCTGGTCACCGCGGCCACATCGGCCGTTTCTAAATCGCGTTCTCGGGCAGTTGAGTCAGAGCTGGACCTCGTGGTTAAATACATAGAAATCAGCATCTTGAAAACAAGCAGATTCGGATGAAGCGAACCGGTCAACTCTCGGCAAACTCGACCATCAACGCTGTTGCGCAGATTATTGCCCCAAGCAACCATTTGTTGCCTGCTGTTCACACACATACCATGGACTCAGATCGGAAGGCTGAGGTCCCTAAGAGTCTTGACAAATGCAGGATCATTAACCACATTGCCTAGCACTCTTCATTGTGTAGACAACAGACTTTCCGTAGGTGCTTTCCGCTGTATCGGGGTGGTTGAACTCAATCCCTCGTGTTGTTCACCGGCATGGATGTAGCTAGTTTTGTCGTTTGGCGAACGCAGTCAGTCATGATGAGACTGTCTGATATAATTATCCAACCTTTCGAGGTTGTTGCGGTGGCTTTAGCCAATACTGCGGAACAGACTCTTCTACCTGGTGTGCACAATGTCGGAAACGGAAGATGTCCCACAAAATTCAAGGATGCAAGGATAATCCATCTATGTGGAGGGCAGTCAACAGAAAGCGGGAGGCTTCCGCACAATCAGTCTCTTACGGTCAACAGGCTGGATTATGATACGTATCATTCCCAGTTGACTAAGAAGCCACTGGTGTTCGGATGGAAAGGTTTTCTGAGGGATGCCTTGGATTGAAAAACGATCGATGTGCAACAGAGATTTTTTTTTGCTGCAAGAAAACTAAGAAGACAGACTCAACCGCTCTGTGAACCGTTCGTGGATATCACCAAGGCATCCGACGGAATCCACAGAGAAGCACCGTGGATCATCCCATAGTAATCTTGCCGTCCAAACAAATTTCTCAACCTTAGGAAAACCTTACACTATGGAAGGAGAGCCCGAATGCGAACCAGCGGAACTATCCCCAACAACTTTTTGATGGATACCGTAGTGAAGCTGGACTTTTGTTCTTGTTGCAGCGCTTCCGCCTATCTTCAATAACCACTTGCGTACAGTCATCGTCAATACACAGGTGGTATACTCTGAGTGTGGGTTAGTGCGGAAACCATTCTACCTCTCTTACACCAACCATGCTACTTGACCACAGTTTGTTAGAAAGTGGACACTTCATCTTGGCTTTTCTAGTTCAGTTTCTGTATAAGGAGTCGAGTTCCTGTCACTAGTCCATTGGATCATTTCAGCACTGTAGCTCGGTTACTAACAACTACCATGGAGCTGTTCCACGCCGTGTGAAATAAACGCTTGAACACAAATAGAGTTTCTACATACTCGCTAGTGTCACGTTCGACTATACTGATCAGCAGCTAGAAGTGTTTATCTGCGTCTCTCTATTTCTTCTATAATGAACTGTTATGGCTTGTCAGGATCTTGCAGTCATTTTAGCCTGTCTGCGAAGTTTGTTAATGCTGATAAAGGATATATTTTCTGGACGACCACCCTGTTTGGTTGATTGATCATGCCCTCGTTTTTATTGATGTAGTGCATAGCACCTTTGCCTTTCGGTCAACTTTTCCGTTCATACTGGTAGTCTTTTCAGACTTCCGCTTATTCAGTTTCTCCTCTTTTATTTACAGTCGTGGTACTCTGGGTAACTCACGTCCAATGGTGCTTTCGCGGAGTAGGTATACCTGGTTCTGATGCATTCTCGCAACGATAGTTTGCACTCTTGTGTGCATCTTTTGGAACTTGCATTCTGTGTCTATCCGTGACGTAATATCTTTGACCCGGCGCCTGAACAACCCGTTCACGTATTAACGTCGGAGTCTGTTTACTCCGGTGCTGGTGTCTGCACAATAATTCCCAGGTTCCAAGGCGATTCAAACATCCCGGCTGTTCCTGACATCAAATCTCAATGGAAGTCGACTATGAGAGCGCTCGACTGCTCACAAACTTAGAGGTCCTGCAGCTAATAAATTCTCGACTGGAGTCTAAGAAGAAGATTAGGAGCCAACAGACATTACTCTATACATGTTCAAAATATCTGAAAACGAGGACCCCATGTGCCGCACAATCTGCTGATTCTGTGCGCTCCTTCACCAAAGCAGTAAAGTCGTTTAAATTTACGAAATTAGAGCTGCTAATGCTCATCAACCATTGTCCCTCTACTCAAGTGGAACTCTCTGTGGTAAGTTTACTCTACAATCTGTATGAATTTCTTACCTGTTCGCCTGTCACGTACTGAGTAACCGAGTTTTCCCAAAGACTGATTGCCATTAAAATCAGTTAAAAACACGAAGTGTTGAGTTATCAGCAGCCGGTTAGCAAAAAGTGCATGATGTCAGAGTTAAAAAAAACTGATTGCTTTTCAAGTTGCCTGTGAACCGATGTTTTGTTAAATAGTGCCGATTTACATCTTGCCTCCGTAATTTTGTTGGGAATCGGCCTCAGACTAAGCTGTTACGTTGTTTCGTGTCTTCTTGTAACCTTTCCAGGTTTTCTGGGTCTAGAGTTTATGTTGTCCAACTTAGTAGCCCACATAGTTCTAGATCTATCAATGCGCTGGGCTGCACCGAGTAACCCAAGACAATAGGCAGCACACCTGAGTCTGGTGTAGAGCCCTGACATGGTAAGCTCCTATCCTGATTTGGGAACAGCTTTATGTGAAATTTGCATGCTTGTAACGTGGTAATCACAGTAAATACATCTTCCAACTCCCTGCCTTTATTCTATTCCACGGTTGGTCCTTGTCCAACTTTTCGCGGAGATCCACCTAAATGCCTTTTCGCTCGGTAGTTTCTTGTAACCCCTCACCTACTTTTGAATCACATTAGAGGGGATTCGGTTGTTTGGTGGGTATTTTTAACAGCTTTTGGCCACACGTGCCCACTGAGATGTTTTCTGATGTCTTTGTGAATGGGAGATTTTCTGTTGCGCACGCTTTATGTGAAATTTGCATGCTTGTAACGTGGTAATCACAGTAAATACATCTTCCAACTCCCTGCCTTTATTCTATTCCACGGTTGGTCCTTGTCCAACTTTTCGCGGAGATCCACCTAAATGCCTTTTCGCTCGGTAGTTTCTTGTAACCCCTCACCTACTTTTGAATCACATTAGAGGGGATTCGGTTGTTTGGTGGGTATTTTTAACAGCTTTTGGCCACACGTGCCCACTGAGATGTTTTCTGATGTCTTTGTGAATGGGAGATTTTCGTGTTGCGCACTAAAACTCGAACAGGAATCACTCTTTGAAAAAGAGTGAACTTAGGTTCTCTGGTAAACCAGCACTGATAGATTGATCAATTATCACCCCCATAAGTCCCAACCTAATCCACCAGTAAGAGGATAACTGTGCCCCGCCTGTTCATATGTGTACACTCACCTATCCCAATAGGCATCAAAAACAGTCCTGCTTGACTCTGGTAACCATTAAATGTTGTTGGGGATAGTTCCGCTGGTCCGCACTAGGGCTCTCCTTCCACAGTGAAAGGTTTTGCTGAGGTTGAGAAATTTGTTTGGACGGCAAGGTTACTGTGGGATGATCCACGATGCTTCTCTGTTGACTCCGTCGGATGCCTTGATGATATCCACGAACGGTCCACAGAACGGTTGAATCCGTCCTCTTAGTTTTGTCTTGCAGCAAAAATAATCTCTATTGTACATCGACCATTTTTCAATCCCAACTCGACGCGAAATGGAGTGCCCGTACAGACCAAGAGGCTTGATATACCTGGAACGCTGAAGAAATGGAAGAACTGAACAATGCTGGAGACGTCTGCAGGTTGTTTCACTTGATTCGTTCGATTGGTTCTCGGAAGCTCCCCCCTCAGCATAGCCATCAGGAATCGAAACGGCTCTAAAATCCAGCAAAGTGGAACATCCGTACCGTTGGGCACAATACTTCGAACAAGCATTCCTTTGGCCACATCCTACCTTCAATCTGGACCGTTGACCCCTAGAAAGAGCAAAAGCTGCGAATATTGAGACCCCTTTAGCCTCGGGATTGTTCAAGTGTGTATCTCAACACAGGTATTAAAGCATGGCCACAAACGACCCACAATCTTGGTTTCCCGTGACTTCAACTTTGCGTTCGATTCTGTCGATTGACCAGTGCTCCTAATTGCACCGCTCAACAAATAAAAACCGGCGGCAGTTAGTTCGCTGGGGAAAAACCTTGTCAATAACTCGTTTTTTTGTGACGAACAAAATACCGGTTTCGTATGAAACACCTAAAACAGTCACAAAGCATGAAGGCAATGTCTAACAGTATTAGTAAATTAGTGGCGCAATATTCCTGTAGGTTTTTAAAGACACTGAAAATCCAATCGCGTTGTCAACAGAACAGCGCGAAACCCGCAGGAAACTACCTGGTGGAGTCTAGGTGTGTACAATGGGGTGGTGATTTTGACAGGCTTGAGTATATATGGCGGCAACTTGATACATAATATCAGACCTATGTACCACCAAGACCTTAAATTTCATTGAAATAATGAAGGACGGCGAGGTTGAGACAAATGCGACATTGGGTTCCGTTTTTGCGCCGTTTAGACGGGTATCACTATCCAGGCGCTCTTTTCGTTTTTCCGGTCTGATCCAGAAAGACAAGGCACCAACTGAAGATCAGCAGAACTGTGAGTGTCTTCAACTGATTGTCACTTCCTAACCTCACCGTTTTCCACCAATTTTATACATGTTCCTTTAACTTGAGGTGAATTCCTTCTTCCACTTCAGTTGCTTTCCGACATGGATTCCAGATTCTCTCCCGACCAGATTGAACAGCTGTTAAAAATAATTGGCGAACACTTTCCCGAATCTGTCGCAGCCAGTCAATCGATCAATGCCGCCGGCGCATCAGAAGAGGGAGACGACGCCCGATAGCCAACTCCTTTTCGTTCTGCTGAGACAGTGACTTCGAGATACATCTAAGCCGTTGAATTCGTCCGTATATCTTTCACCCATACTTTTCAACTATATCTTGTATCTCTGTTCTGTACAAGAAGTTAACAGAACAATACCGGTTGAACATAGCAGATTTTGCCTTGATAATTTGCGTTTAATACTCTTATCACTACTGGGTTACCTCAAGTGACCATGCTGCCTGAGGGACCAACTTTAGAAGGCCCGAGGCAAAAAGGACACCAGTGCGTAGACCTCGACAAGTCTAGTAAAGTTTTCAAACAACAACCACGAGAGACGACAAGTAAACGGAGAGAGACAAACTGGAAGTCGCCGTGGAACGTGACTAGTTTGCATGTGTCCGACTAGGCACGCTTGCCTGGATGTGGGAGAAGTGTATTTCGCCAATTTCGTAACACAACTTCACAAAATGCAATCTTGTTTGTCCTTACGGGATCAGTTTCTTCAGTGGGGTAGTGAACTAGTTTGTGTAACGAGACATCACAAAATCCAGATGGCATACGTCAGGGACAGAGAACTGATTTGTCTTAATGATGTATTACTGCAAGCCTTCGTGTTACCATGTTAGACTTGCAATAGGGACTGCTCTGCGTTTCTACATGCCGTGCGACAACATAATACAGTACGAATATCCATCCCGGAAGCATTTCAAACCTTGTCGTATTACAATTCTGCAGCAACTCAAATGTACTCTTTTTCTTCGACAAAATCTGTGTCAGTTTTCTAGAAGCCGCAGCTCATCAAGGCAGTACTGTGTGAAATAAATAGTTCATGTTTAAACGTTGAAAGTGATGAAAAACCGCAAACAATCCCACCAGTTCTGAGTCACTGTTTTCATATATACCACAGGCTTATTTGACTTTCGGTGCGCGTCATTTTATCTTAATAAGGGGCTGACAGCATTACAGCACTGCTATCCACGTAACTCATCCAGATTAACCGATACTGTTCGAAATTGTCACATAAGGAAAAGGTTTCACTGACTGTTGGAATGTGGGAACCAATTGGTGATCACTTCGTTGAGTTTCCTTTGTTTACATTACTACATTTACCGAATATGGAAATAACGTAAGAGATTCCAGGTTAAGTTCCCCTGTCCTTAAAACTTCCATGTCCAACAGTTAGCGTCCGGTATCTCTCGGCCTTCAAATAATAAATCGACATGAAACCACATTAGCCAGGCCTGTTCTTAATCTTCCGTCTCCGCCGTCTTTTAACCAACTCGCCTATGTTCTGCTACCAGCGAGCATAAATACTGGTCGGAGGGATAATTAGCGGACCCAGTGACGAAGGTCAGTGGTAAGGATACATGTGCCCAGCTTATGGGATCATTGGGCGGATCTCAGCGCTACGATCAGAAAAGTAATATCTACTCTGGAACCGGTGGAAGAACTACGCTTCATTTGTGGTTGCCTCATGTAGCAGCACTCCTCCCACAAGTCAGTTCGACTTCAACAAAACTTCATACGTAAAGTATCGCCCCTACACTCCTGTTCTTTGTGTTTTCACTCTGGTGTCATGGGTCGGCTGTCATTGATGTCACTGGTTACAAGTGTGTCAGGAAGTAAATCATCCTCAGTAGCATTTATCTCGGCTTCGTGTATCGGGAGTGCTTTTGCGAAACGGGACTAGGCGAGTCAAATCAAACTTATGGGGTAATTAACCTAGAGCAGTTGTGAGTCAGCCTGGAACGATGTACGTGAACTGAGAACAAAATAGGGGGAGCCCAAAACCAAATTCTGACAAGTGATGTGTTTCATCCAGTGACCAGTAACGAAATAACGAGAAGCGCGAGTGTGCCGACTTCCCGCGGATTGCATTGACCTGCGAGTGTATTCACCGAGTGATGCCTGATCACGCTTAGTATGCAGCTAGCCCCAATGTGGGGCATCTTTCCAACAAGGGTCAGTGTCATCTGCCGTAAGAGGGGATCCCATCTACGTCTTCGATACTGAACGTCTGTGTTAATCCATCCCGACCTCCTATCCGGGCTGACAGATCATCTAGACGTAAACGTGATCTGTGGAAAAAAAATCGCCCACCACTTCCATTGACTCATGTGAGTATGATGTTCGTGTATGGTGCTACCCACCATACCAACAGAGTCCCACTCTTTGAAAGTTTGGTATGCATGACAAACCGATCGGAATGGTTCCGGTTACGCAACGCTGTTCACAATTAGGTGTTAGTAGACCTAGGAGTTAAGTCCACCAGGTAATTCACGAATCTGCGCGGACGCATTGAGAATATTCCGGTTACATATACATCAGCAGCTAGGTTGACAGTGACAGTTGACGAGAAAAGAAAAGAGCAGTCTTAGTTGATACCAATGGATGTAGTGAGTTCGGGTGAGGTGAGCGAATTTATCTGCAAGTTTGAGTTTAGCCCCACCCAGCCTCTTAAAAACAGCTAATATTTCGTAGATGTGAGGTGCGTGCCAAACCGTATGGTCGAATTAATTAGACTATTTGGAATAGCATTTCTGCGGTAGCTAGCCCAAGAATAGTAATGACATTGGTATACTTGATGTCCGGGAGCCGATACCCGTGATAACTTCTGTTAGGAGGACTACCTCCAAACAAACAAATCCACTTCGCTAATGATTTGTCTTGTATACTGAAACCTTGTTTCCATATTTCAGCCTCTCAATGACATTATTGGACTGCTGGCTGTTTTTATATTCTGGTGCAGTTGAATTCCATTCCTCGAAGTTGTTTGTCCACTCCATTCTGGTGAACTAACGAGTCTGGCTGATACATTAACAAACAGGATATAACAACATCGACCACCGAAGCGATAGAAATACGTAAGGCTCATTTGAATACCGTGTCACATTACACGACGGTGTCTGGCAGTAACAGATGTGGCGAGCTTGTTGTGGACCAGCACTCATCTACGGGAGTCCGCATATATCTCATCTAGAAGAGAAGCTGGACACCGTCGATCAGGCAGACAATTGTGGTGGTTCACATTATCTGACGACCTAGATTCAAAACCAGCATTCAGGTCAAATGTATCCATTTTCATGGAGGAAACTACTCACAAGGTTGCTGAAAACTTCGACAGCCCACGACCAAATCGACTTGCAAATGAGTATTCCTCAAAAAATGCATCCATTGTTCACTGTTGCACAGGGTGACGATGTTCGAATATCCGCCTAAAATAAAATCGTCAACGCATCCAAGCTGAAGGCGAAACCCAACTTGGTTTTCTCAAATCGGACTCACTTGGTACTCGATCAGTCTGTATGTACCAGTATGCTGTAAATTACTCGACAGGCCACCTCACCGGATTGATACCAACATAGTTTTGCCAACGGATTATCGCACCCCAGCGGAGGCTATATATTCCAGCAGAACTACTTCAGTTGGCTCCGCCTACACCCTCTCGCTGAAGTGTGCGGACGTAGAGAGACACAAGATAGCAGCAAACAGGTACACCATAAGGAACATCTACAACAGAATTGCCGGAGAAATAGTGAATCGACTGAACGTTTATCATGCTCATGCAAAGATTGGGGTGGAAAACCGTAGACCCCTTGGCATAGCCCCCGGTAACTTAGTTGGATTCCTTGACTATCCCACATCGCCCTTATGGTTGTGTCCCGCAACTTTTCAAAATGTAATTACATTGAGAAGGGCACCAAAACAGATGGCCACGCTGCAGGACCCTGCCAGCCACTCTAGACCGAAATTCGCATTACGCTTCATGTGGTCTTTATCCGAAAAAAATCCACCCTTATAAGGTTTTGATTACTCCTTTAGATGTTTTCTGACGTGTCGAATGATTCGGTTTTACAGCCCCCTGAGGAACCTCATGGTTTTTAACCCAAAACTGTCCATTCGCTACCGTAACGGCGATTCCTATCTCCAAGAAATTCGCCTGGCCCGCGACGGGCGCCTTGTAATAATCACTCTCTGATCCCTTATTTTTCCAACAAACTCTCATCCCATGCTTCGCTAATGCGTTTTCTTAATCAAAATTCTGCTGGGAGATTAGGAAGTGTTCCGAAATTGATACCATTCCTCGGCTGTTTTACTTCCCCTGCTAAGGAGATGCAGTTCACGGTCATTTGGAGTGAAACCTCAGTGGGTTATGCTGCTGTTAGTATAAATTGGGTAACAAATGATTTCCAAGCCCAGAGGTTCCCGTTATCACCATCAGGGACATCAACATGACTTTTAACACCAATCCTTCAATGCCGTACAACCATAAATTTCATTTGATTATATTTAAAGCGCTAGGGTGAAAAGAGAAAGGGAAGATGAGGAAGGTGACCTAGTGTTGACCTATGTCAAGAATTCTGAGGTGTCTACAGCTCCAAGCGCTCAACAGACAATCTAAAAACCAGCGGTCCGAACGCAACTGACATCAGTCTGTTGCCATATCCTCCAGTCCCCAGCCAAGCTTGGGCGGGGTCACGGCGACCCCATCCTGGAAGGCATACAACACCAACAATACACAAAGTCTTCGTGATCCCTCTCGCCTCCTTCTGCCAAGTCATAAGTTATCCAACTCGCATTTTGCGCCATTAAAAAGGGGGCACGCAGAACAACACTCACCTCAGTAGACGATGTTTCGGCATGCGTAGAACATGCCCAAGCTATCATAGTCGATGGTGCTAGATATTGTCGGTGATTGAAGTAACTGCAGCACAACCAACTACTCGTTTTCTAATCATCTCGTTACTAGTCCATTGACGCCATCCAAAACCAGCCCCAGCCAAGCTCAAGTCATAGGTGGTTAAAAACCTGGAGAGCTCTCACACCATCCGTCCGTATCGGCCACTTCCCGTATCCATACAACACAGCCCTTACTGTAGCCTGGTACACGCGACCCTTAAGACTCAGTGATATGCCATTTTGACTCCACACGTGACGCAAATTAGTCAACGTGAATCAGGCCTTTGGGATTATTGACCTGACTTCATCAGATCCATCCCCCGAGTTAATACAACTACCGAGCCATGTAAACTTCTCCACAACCTCCGGTGATTCTCGTTGAATCGTTAGGACATGTTCACAGACGGCAAGTTCTGAAGCATGTGCTTGAACTCTGAATGTCAGAGGCACAAGGCGAAAGATGGTATGACGTTGGTTGAAATCCCGCTTGGATCCCATCAGTCAAAGTTTCGCGTGCCACAATAAGACGACTCTGCCACGAAGAGACTAGACCTTACCGTGGTGTGGCGGTTTGGGTAACTCGACGACCCATTGAGCTATACTGGGGAGTGTCCGCACGACGCTCACAGAGTCTCTCATACCAGGTTGGTCCATGGGTAGAGGTCCGACGAACAGTCTCCTGGCCTTCCAGGTTGGGGGTTGGAACATGTATGGCGACGTGTTCCGTAAAAAAAATGGTAATGTACTTGCATTTCCAGCTGAACACCCCTGCCCTGTGGTTAGGCTTTTGAGCCAAAGGCTTGGTTGAGGACCCTAATCGTCTTCCTGTCTAGATGTGGGCGCCCTGGCAGTATCCCAGCCCACGTAAAACCATGAACTGCACATACACAAATAAATTCGTGCCACATCGGCCGTCGCGTGGTGACATCAGCCGGGTCGCCTTACTCGCTGCATACAGCAGGGCGGGTAAGCGAAAACATGCTACTGCTGATACCTACCTTCTTACACTTTCACGTCTTCCTTCTTCCAACCTTCTCCACCCAAATTCGAATACTTTATCCGCAGGTCCCAGCTATAGGACTGACCGTTTCGCTCGCCCTGCATCACACTCAGCTGCAGCCTCTGCATGTCCGAGTTCAGTTACAACCCTAAACACTTCGAAGTCTGTTTTCAAACCCCGAAAGCCTGCCTATTTAGCCACCTTCAATGTTCGCACACTGAAGCAAACAGATCAACAGGTGGCTCTTGCGCGTACGCTGGATTCCCTCTGTATTGACTTATGTTGTCTGTCAGAAACAAGGACGCAGGACTCAAGTACTGTGATCGAACTGACTGCCCCCTCGCTCTCCTCCAGGTTCCGGCTGCGCACCTCTGGTGATGCAGAGGCCGCTGCAGCTAGATATACTGGGGTGGGTATTGTATTGAGCGAACGAGCGGAAGTGTCTCTGCTCGATTGGATACCCGTTGACAGTCGCCTCTGTGCGGTTCGTTTGGCAACGTCGGTGAGAGAGTGTAGAGAAAGTGAGGTTCATCGCACCCTGCTTATTGTGTCTGCATACGCCCCAACTGACTGTAGCTCTGAATCTGCCAAGGACAGTTTCTATGACGCTCCAGGTGCCCTTCTACAGCAGGCTAAAAGCTCAGATATAGTTGTGATTGCTGGTGATATGAACGCCCAGGAAGGTAGACTAAGCGCTGCTGAGGCCCGATTGGGTGGTCTTCTTGGTTTGGACACGAGACACACGGACAACGGAGACCGGTTACTTCAGATGTGTGCCGATCACAGGCTGTTCCTGTGCAGTACGAATTTCCGGAACAGCGGAAATCGCTTGACAACGTG